GGGGATGGGGGGATTGTTTCAAATGGAACTTTACAAATTGTTCCCTGGTCTTCTGTTCTTCTGTGCCTAGAGGGTAGGTGCTGGTATCCTTTATTTGTCAGTGTCTCTTTCTTTGCATGTTCCCTGGCTATTGGTCATGATGCTTTCTCAATAGAGAAATCTTGTGTGCGGTAAGATGAGTGGTTTCTAAAACACGTTGCCACTAAAGGCCAGTACACGGTACACTTTGCACTTGAGGGCATTCATTGTTGTATCAAATGTGGAGTTTAGTCTTTTATATTTGTTACTTGTATTTTGTTTTTCTTGTCTGTATACGCAGTCGTCCAAGCGTCCCATGGGATGGTTTGATGAGGCTGTTTCAATTGCGTACCTAATTGGAAGATTCTTTTGTAACCTTCACATAGTTTTTGTTCACAAATTTAAGTTGAATGTGATGTGGAGTCAGAGGGGTAAATCTTCTGCACTGTAGATTATAAAAGGTTTCCATAGCATCGTAGAAAAAATTTAGTCTCACCCTTTGATGTCAGACTGCCACTTGATATGCTGGAGTAAGTGTCTGTCATGCACAGTAGCCTTTCTGTAGCAGCAAAGAACAGTGCGTTAGATTGGTTAGATTGACGTTTTTAGTTTTTTTACGATGTCTTTTAAAACAAGGTTTTTTTTTGGTTTTTTCTTCTGTCGTTTATTCTCTTATCGACAAGATCGTGTCTGTTAGTTTTTGAGGGCTTAATCGTCTATCGTCTGCTTGTACTGTATGCTTTCCAGGAAGCAGAGAATGTTTCTGAGTGTTCTGGAGTTTGCTGGGGTTATAACTGTAAAGCACATAGGGCATGCTGTAGAGCTGGTGTGTGCCGTATATTAATGCAATTATTATTATCAATATTTTTATTATTAATGTTTTAGGTCTTATCTCTGTTGCTCTTTCTCTTATGTGCAAAGCAGAGATGAAATACAGTCGTTAATTGTTGAGTGTGAAGGGTGGGGCTCAAGTACTTCAGAAGGAAGGAGATGAAGTGTCTTCAAAATGTCCCATACATGTTTCAAGTTACTGCTACCTTACTGTATAAGGTTTGTTCCTGTATTTGTGTTTTAGTTTCATATTGACCGATACCTCACCCGTATTTGTATATGGTATAAAATGTGTTTCATGAAAATCAGGCATTTATTTTAAATGTTGTAGATTATTCTACCCACTGCAGACTTGAAACCTTATAATGGTTCTTACGACAGTGTGACTCGTTATACCGTGGTATAAACGCATGCACGCACACATATGTTTTGGTAATGCCTCATATTCATTACCTCATGAATACAGCACCGTTATATATAAGGTTCAATCAACCACCATGCATAAATAGGGTCATGAACACACACACGCACACACATACACACACACACACAGAAGAGAGGTTTTGCCCATTTGCATCTATACTATTAGTCGTTTAGATACACATTGCCTGCCCATCTACAATCATGTAAAGAACATGTGTTTTGAATATCCATTGTGTGTGTGTGATCAGTAAGTGGCCATTTCCCAGACATAAAGTCCCTCCTTCACACCAGTCAGATGTCTGAAGCGGAGAATATCGCAACCTTAGAATTACGAAGTTCCATTTGCTCAGTTCCTAGTTTTGACAGATTTTATGTAAAAATTTTGAGTTTCATAATTTTTCTAGCTTTTTCAAATGCAATTCTTTTGACTATCTTGATAAAGACTCAGAATAATCATACAATTTTGATAGAAAATTTCTGACCTCATGGTCTCAATGACTCAAAACGGCCAAATATGTCATAGAATTTTGTAGTTCTAAGGTAGCGAAATGTCTGGTAAATTGAGAGCACTTATGATCCATCCTCACTGGGAAAGCATTTTATATTACATAAGAAGCTGTTGGCTTATATAAATTTGTTGTGTATTTTTGTACTACTCTTTGTGACTGAGTGGGTCTGACTGACTTGATCTTTTCCCCTCCCCCCCCCCCTGGGATTTTTAACCAGCTTGTGTGTGAGATAAATTTTTACATTGTCTGAAAAAAATGTCTGTTTGGCGTTTTTTTTGTGTCGCTGGTGAATGCATGGGTCACATGACTGCCTGCAGGAAAGTGTCACATTACCCTGGTCATGTGATCAGACATATTGGTAAATTGTGAATGATGATGGTGCTCATTGGGTATGTTCTCTGAAGTCTTTGCTCAGTTGGTGGATGTTGAGATTTGATGATGAAGTGACAGCATCAGCTTTTTGTTGGGGCTACAGTCGATGAAATGTCTTGTCAGTTTCTTTGTGTTTTAGCACTTAACCCGCTGCTCGCTCTGTATGCTTCCCAGGAAGCCAAGAACGTTTCTGAGTGTTTTAGGTTCCACGGGGGTAATGTTAGTGGTAAAGCGTATGAAGCATGCTGTAGGACGGATATGTGCTAAATAAATGCAAATGTGTTTCAACAAGGTGGAATCTGGCGCCATCAATTTTTGGGCATATGGAATTATTTTTATTGTCTTAAGATTGTTTATTTGTCTTGCTTTCAATGAAAAAAGTAACCATCGTATCATCAATAGAAGGGGAGATATTCTTAATTGAAGTAGGAAAAGTTTACTTGGTTTCAGAGGTGAAATAACTTTAAAAAATGGCCACCAAATTTGGTGACTACCATAGCTAGAGTGTCCTGTAAAACTAAATTTACATTTTGTATACCTTTACTCAATGTTTTTTTTGTAGTAAAACCCACACAGGAATTTGTTTTTTTAATGGACATAAAATGTGTTCAGCCCAAAAATAAAATTTTGAAAAAGATTGCCAAGTAGGAAGAAAAATGCCTTTTTCTTTGATTTCATTATTTTGACGAGTGCATGATTTCACCACGATGAGTCACAAATATCATTATTATTAATTATTATAATTATTATTATTATTGTTATGGTTGGGTTTCTATTTTCTTGTGTTTCTTCTTTATTCTTGGTGCCAAAAGTTTTGGGGTTTCTCTGGTTTGTTAAAAGGAAAAAAGAAAAATGACTGCTCTATACATCTTGATGTACCCCCAGGTACAGGGTTTTTTAGAACCTTGTTGGAGTTACTAAACCCTGCAATCTCATACAAGCCTTCCGCAAGCTCTTCAAGGGTGGTGAATGAGAGAGACACGTACACTTACAGTATGTGTGTCTTGACGGCCATGGCTGCAGCCCCTGAGACTGACTCGTTGAACCCCTGGGGTTGGATCAAAAAGCTAGATTTTAGAATCACTGCCTTACCATCATACTGTCAAGCCACTGAGGCTGTGTGGGGTGAAAGTGGATTTAATTTTTTTTTAAAGAGTGCTTTTGTCTGTTCTGTTCACTTTTGCCTTTTTCCTTCCTTCCTCCCCCCTTCCCTCCTTCCCACGTCTGTTGTGTCATGGGTAGGTTCTTTGCCATTACCCGCAAAAGATGTGAGTTTGATTCTACAAGGAGGAGTCTGATTTACCAAATGCTGTGTCTCCCTCAGTGTTTCTGTTGTGTTATGGCCAGGGTTGTCTCTGACATGCGGGGCTGAAGCTGGCTGCTTCTTAAAGCTCTACATTTTGTTGATTAGTATGCAAAACATGAACAGTCCTAACAATCAACTTTTACCTTCTTTACGACGAGAGATTTAGACTCAACCCACTGACACGTGCACAGTCAGTTTCACTACAACTCTCTGTCTTGTTTACACCTAGCTGTGCTTGACCGTTTCATAAACTCTTTATCATTAGAATAAAATTTTCATTGCTTTTGTATTTTTATGACAAGGAAGTTATTTGTTTCTTAATGTTTGAGTAAAAAGCTGTGAAGGGTATGCTGTTGTAAAGAGACTATGCATGGAAATATGGAAGTTTATCGTCTTTATTCATGTTTTGTTATAATTGAAGTAGAGATTGGCTCAGAGTACTGAAAATGAGTTCGTCATAAATCCTGTTGTGTTAATCGTTTGTGTGCATTTGTTTGTCAACTGTTATTTTTTGTTTACTTCATAAACAGAAAAGAAAAATGTTCCTCACTATCTGCAAACTGTCGTTAGCCTTTTGTAATGTTCCAGCTATCATCTGCCAGAGTAATAGCCTAGTTTGAGATTTTGGGAAAGAACACCGATTTTCAGGTGTCCAGTTTTGGGATGTAATGATTTCTAGCTACATCACACGTGGTTGAAGTGGCGTCAGTGGCCTAGTGGTTTGACAACCGGACCCGTAATCGTAGCGTCAGCCTGGTCCAAAGTTGTGTCCTTGGAAAAGACACTTTACATGAATTTACCACATGGCTTGTTCCTTTTGGAGACAGACATTAAACCAGCCTATTAAATAACCTAATAGTGTTTTGTTAACGTTAAACCTGTTCCATTGCACCTTTTTTTTTT